TATCTCCAGTCATGTTCCTGTGATTATATGGTTCAAATATATTTGCCTAGGGACATGTCTAGGGACCCGGTTCAAACATATATGCCTAGGGACAAAATTTAGTAGGAAAGTAAAAGAAGGTTCAAAGTTCAATCAGGAAAGATATGTAAATGGCTAATTTTTGTAAAAACTCGAGAAGCTGCATTTAGCACTTAATAAATAAGCTAAACACGTGAATTCCTAGGATAAGTAAGGTTGGCTAACAGATATGAAGAGCTACTAAATTTACTCTTGGTGTTTTTCCTCTTCACAATAAAAAGCAGTCATCAATGTAATAACCAACTGTGACCTTCACACACAAAATTAATAAGGCACAGAAGACACTGAAATAATTAATTACATTTAAGACACCACCATAAAGATTTACATTGCTTTACCCATCGGTTCTGCAGTAAACACAACAAAAAAGTGTCACTATCCAAGGGGGATAAGACCAAGGACCTCAGCAAAGCAAACGTAAAAGGAGTGCCCGCGAAGCTGGCCAGACGGCCCACTCTGCAGTGGCGCCTGTGCCACTCTCTTACCTTGGGGAACCAAGCCTTCTTGTCTAGGTCCCACTCGTAGGGGGTGTCAGCCGGCTGCTGCCCCAAAGAATCTGTTTCTCCGCCGTGATCGGTCTGAGTGTCACCGTCTTTGGCATCTCCGTACAATTCTTGCATTCGTAACTGATCATCAAACTCGTCGTTCCCATCCAAGTTGTTGCCGCTCATGTTTCCTACCTAGCCCAGGGGCAGGGTTCAGGCGGGCAAAGAAGCTGAAATGACGCTGGAGAGGGGTAGAGAAAGGGAAAGTGGCCGTGTCGCCTGGCGCCCCGCCGCCCCCCGGCCCGCCTCCCCGTGGCGCCCCAGCAGTCCCTGGGAAGTCAGGACCGCTCGGCCGCCGCGTCGCGCCGCCCCCCGGGGTCCGCCCGCCCGCTGATGCTCCGAGATCGGCCGCGCCGCCGCCCACCTGGCTCGCTCCGCCGAGCCTCGGCTCCGCCGCCGCTGCCGCCGCCGCCGACCGGGTTTTAGGCGACTGTAGCTCCCGCGGCAATGTCAGGAAATTACTTGAAAACTAAGCCCCGCTCAGGCTGACGCAGTCGCCATTGTAGGCGCGTCGCAACGTCGCGAGTCGCGCCGACACGCCCACAGTGGCGTCAAAAGGCGCCGACGCGGGCATGCGGCGCGAGGCCCGGGGGCGGGGCGCCAGGGGGCGTTCTGCCGCCGCGCGGCGACACCCACCGGGGACCGCCTCGGGATGGGAAGACTGCTGCTTGGTGCCGCAGTGCCGCAGGGACCTTGAGCTCCGCAGGGTCCCCGGCAGGTCTGGCAGGGCCTGGACGGTAGCCCGAAGGAAGGCGTAGGAATGGTACCCCGCAGCGGGCGCCGGGCAGGTGTCGCGGCAGGCGCCATCTTGGGGGAGTGGGTGGGGCGGGCAGGACCGGTTTCTCTGGCTTCCAGAAAACAACGCGACTCCTTTGGCCAAAGGCCCCACCCCCTGCACCGGAACCACATTTTTTACTTGTTTTTTTACGATTTCTCTGGGATCGGCAGCAGCTTTAGTTCATCTTGTTAGCCTAAGCTCCTGGCACCGGGTCTGGTGTCTAGTGTGAAGTGAGTGAATGAATGAATGAGTGTATGAATGAATGAATGAACGAACGAAGGGTGCAAGGGCCAACCTTCTTTTCCTAGTCTCAGCCCCCTCCTTTTTCGGTCTCATACCTTCCTCAGGCTGGAGTTCGACTGTGGGAAGGGTGGGAGGGGGCAGCAGTTGCCTGCCTCTTGTACTCCAGGATTCAGAGGTGCTCAAACCCCAAACTTTAAACTTAAACGTAAACATCCCAGTGTAAACACCAGTTTTACTGGCCTACTAACTCCGTTTCTTTGTCTTTCTTTTAGAAAGGCACAGCACGCTTTTGCTCTAAACAGAACTTTGTTTTCAGATATTACATTGCTGAAAAATCAGGAGGTGCGTAATTTTTAATTGGGTGGATATTTATTGTGCCCCTACTAAGTGCCAGGCTCTGGCGGCCCAGCAGTCAACAAGACAGGCACAGCTCAGGGGACACATGGTGGTTGGCAGATGATATGATAGGAGAGGTACAGGATGCTGAAAGAGAGCAGTTCTCAAACTTTTGGGTCTTGGGACCTCATTATGCTAAAAAATTATTGAGAATCCCAAAGAGCTTTTGTTTATGTGGATTATGTTTATCAATACTTGCACAAAAATTAAAGCGACCATTTAAAAAATACTAATTCATTTAAAAATAACAATGAACCCATTATCTGTAAACATAAATATCATAACCCAGACTTGAGGATGGGGAAAAGCTTCCCGGAAGAAATTATTTCTACTATCCCAGTGACCTCTACTTCTAAACATAGCAGTTGAGTACCGGTTATAGAAAATCCTGGCTCCCCACATACCAGCTTTGTGAATCTGTGGTTTCAACCATACCAACAGTTTTTTAATAGTTATTTGGGTTTGTTTTTGTTTTCAATTACATTTTTACCATGAAGTCCTCATTCTGGTAGGAACCATTGGAGAACTGAACTTGCATGCATTTTTATAATAACGTGAGTTTTATTAGGCTCATTTAAACATGGCTAAATATTTCTTCCTGGATCTGAAAATAGTATACAGCTGTTTTCAGCAATGTGTTATTGGGCTCCCATTTCATTCCTGCAATCACAACATAGGTGATAGATAATATGTGACACCACCCTACTGCACATGGTACTCTGAGTGCCTGCTGTACCCATAGCTCCCCTCTGAGCAGGTGACCAGAAAGGTTCCTTATGCCTCTGTCTCATGTTGCCCAGCCACCCTGGCCCAAAGGCTGCCCAGAGGCCTGTGTGGTGTCCTGTCATGGTGGCTCTGCATCCTAGAGGATATTTGAGCCAGTAAGAGCCTCTCTTAGCCAGTTGGAGTATGGAACAGACAGGAGCATGGTCAGAGCAGTACAGAAGCAAGGAGACGCTCACATGGGGAAGGTAAAAGGCAGAGCACAGGCCTGCTGTGGAGAAGTTCCCTAGGGGTGAGAGGAGCAGCAGAAGGGTCACTGAGTCACCATACTAGTGGAGCAGCAGAATTGGGAGCTAAGCACACTTGTGCCTACAGTGGCATTCTGTTTGGTCACGAGACCTGACAGTTCTATTTTACCAATGCTGTGGTCTCCATGAAGCCTGGTTCCTGTTTGTTCTCATTTCCCTCGTAGCTGAGGTAATCTGGAAGCATCTCTGTCTTTGTTACCTTTTTCAAGATTTTTCGCAGGTTACAGAAACACTCAAGGTAACAGCAGAAAGGGGGGCTATAAAGATAAGGGTGGCTCTTGAACAACAGGACCACAATATAGATGGGCTGCATGGGGGTGGGTGGGTACTGGACCTGGAAGAGGATGGAACCCACACAGCTGGCTTCTCTCCGAATACCTACTTCATTCTTTTCTCTCTGACCTTTGTAAGGGGTGATCGATGTTGTATTCCTGGCCTCCAGCCTTCTTAATGGGCACATATACATTAACCTGCAAAAGCAGAGACTGCTTGGCTGGAAAAGGCACCTACCTGGCCTAGGAACTCTTTCTAGAAAATTACTGAACTATACCAAACTAGATTTTTTTTAAATGGCCCCTTCAAGCCCACTCTGTTCAGGAACTTTCCTATCTCCATGTCCTGGAATCTCAAGACTTAGTGGAAATAAAAATAAAAAAGACTTTTGTCCTGACAAAAAGACTGATGAATTCCTGACCTAAGATGGTTCAAACTGCAGAAATTCTTTAAGCTCAAATTTGCTATTTCCAGCAGATATGCCTATGTCAAAACGTTGTATAGCTCTTTCACCTTTAATGATGAAGACTTACCCACTGGATGTTTGATTATACCTTACTTTGTGACCATATTTTCATGCTTTGTAGTGTATTACTGTATTATGGCCCATATTTTAAGTCTTGGATCAGGAAAGACCCTGAATAAAATTAACATGTATACTCAATTTGTTTTGCCTATGACCCATCTCTCCACCCATTTAGGACTCTCTCCAAAGAAATGAAATCTTCCATAGGAACATTTGTAACACCACAATAGTTAGTGTGAACGAAATTGTAGATATTGGGGCCTACCTGTAAGGTTAGCCCTGACAAGCATAATCTGTTATTATAAAAGAGAGACCACCCCGTTCAAAAAATTCAAAGCAAGGCCATGAATTTTAAGCCCAGATTTCCAAATGTGGATGGGAGGTGGCCGATGCCTTATAAAGCCACTTAGGAAAATATTTTATATTAGATCCCTAAGTCACCTAGGTATTACTGAGAATGAAAAAAATGAAAGTTCTTTGAGTTCCAGTTTGATGAACTGCTAGAAGGATCTCTTGGCTTTTATAATCTGGTACTTGTTATCAAGTTATTTCTAAAATGTTTAGGAGAGTAAAGATGTAATATTTACTCAGAGTGAAGAAAACAATAAAAATATTTTGGGATTCTGTGACTTGAAAATAACTTAAATTTTGGAATTAAAATGGGTTCTCTGTTATAGTCTGTCATAAATATAGTTTTTAGAATATAAAGTCACACAGTCATTTAAAACTTTATTTCATTTTATTTGTTTCCCCCACTTATTACAATTTCCACCTTAAAACAATACTAACACAATATCGGCACCCCCACCTTAAACCAATTTTACAGAAATTTAAAGTCTAGTGTTAGTATATATTCCCTTTTGAGCCACATAATTAGCAAAATTTCATTACTACACAAGCCATTTAAAGCTCAAAACTACCAAAAGCACACTCAAAAATCAAGTTTTTTAAAAATACAAATTTAACTACAGTGCCAAACATATGCTTTAATTTGCTCCCAAAAAACATTTTCTGAAGCCACAAATCTAAATTTGACACGTCTGTCGATAACAGTTTTTTGAAATAACAATTATTAACAAGCTCATAGTGTTAGCAAGTAGGAGCAGAGAATAGAAAATCAGAACCTGTCATCTGATTTCCATGGGCAGAGATTAATTAGGTCATACTGATAGGATTTACCCACCCATCAAGCAAGAAGATGGTTTGATAACAATTGCACACCAGGTGTTAGGGATTTCATGTGGTACTTCTGCATGTTTTTAGAAAGAGGGCACTGCTTACCAAAAAGAAATGAATTTCCTTAAAAGAAGCATTTCAGATGCTGGCAAGTTCATAGATTTTTCCAACAGGGGTCCTCTGGAACTCTCAAATGATACCAGGGCCACTTATTCTGCCTGTGAATAGGGCAAGTTCTTTACAATATTTGTGAACAATAACTTTGCCCGGTCATTAATCAATGGCAGCTGTAAGTAGAACATTAAGTCAGTAAGTGTTGGCCCAAGTAAGGCAAGCACTCTGCTCCAGGTCCTTACTACTGTATGCTTACTGACCCCAAACCGTTTTGCACAGATTTAGTTACAATGGAATAGAAATTAATGGAAAGGGGCAGTCATTCTGTGAAGGTTTATTTTTAAAGAAAACTGCATAAGAGATTTTTTCTCTTTTTGATCCCCTTTTCACAAAGTATAATCTCTAGATTTACACCACATAACAAACACAAACACAATTTTATGCCAATCACATGAGCATATGAGAAGTTGGAAGCATTATAAATACGATGAAAACAAATTAGATTTTAAAGTTTCATCTAGTTTATTTTACCTTCTCTGTTCAACCTCCCTTACAATTCACTGGCATAGACAAACTTGTCTTTCTACACTCGGTGGGGCTTCATCTTATTTAGAAAGCCCAGTAACATTACTGTTTGTATTTTGAAGAAAATCAGAGTTTGTCTTTTACCTACAGGGATCCTTCTCTCCTAAGATTTCAACACAGTTCACAAACAACAAAAATCCAGACACCACACACCTATGCACAATTTAGAGTTGGATACACACGTTGGGAGGAAAAATACCAGTTTTGACTGAAAAGCTAGACCCTGTCCTCTTCCTTCTTCACACTACACCCAGTGAACAAGGTCACACTAATGTCAGACACCTGTGTGCTCCCGGCGCCCGGGACCCTTCCCATCACAGCCAGGTTGTTAAGAGGGGTGTCAGCAGAAGGAGGCTCAGGCATCTCTGCCTTGCAACAGCACAGCTGAGCTTTAAAATGCTTCTGGAAGGTTTTGCTCAGCCAGTAGAGAGCAAAGGGGTTTACACAAGAATTACTGAAAGCCAGAACACGAGACAAAATGGTGACAACAAAATGCACTGCAGAGGGGTCTACATAGGTTTGGTAAGTGAAAGAGTGGTAGAGGTACAGGAGGTGATTTGGCAACCAGCAGACAGCAAACAGAGCCACCAACACCAAGACCGTTTTGGCAATTCTCTTCCGGGATTCAATCTACAGGGGGAAGAAAAATGGCAACAACAAAGAAATCATTTAGCTGGCAGAGATTTTCAAAAGTCACCCTCTAAATTCACATAGAAATTTACAGTTAACGAGCTGGCTTCCCTTTGAACGTGCATTTATGTGTTAACTGGCTGGGATGTGCAGGGAATCAGCCTGTGGCTATAGAGAACAGCAAGTTAATTGGCATGGCAACCCGTGATCTTGGTCTCATTAATTCTAACTCAGAGACACCCCCACTCCCCAATTTTGAGATTCTCTAGGATGTTTCCAGTTAACTCAAGGAGTATTATGGAATTCTACAAAATTTAATTTAATTAAAAACATAGATGCTATACCGAGCTGCTTTTACTGCATCAGCAGAGGCTGACTAGGTCAGAATATTCTTCTGGGGTTTACGAAAGTTGCCAACTTGGTATCAAAAATTGTTTGTAATCTATAGGAATTCTAACCATGTAGTCAAAGAAATAAAAACCAAATGTTGCTGTCCTTCATATGTGAAAATAATCCTACCTGCATCTATTAATAAGAGAAATGAGCCAGCTTAGGTGAATATATAGCCTGCAGTCAGAGGTAGAGCAAAGATAACTGGTTCACAAGGGCACTATATTGCTACTTCAGCCTTGTGGGCACCACTGTTGAACCAACTAAATGGACTAGCTTTTTAAAAAAGGCATAGCTCTCTGTGTACTGCTCAAGAGGTAAATGGAATCATCTCTCCCTCTTCCCCAGAAGTAGAAATCTTTTTAAAAAAATAAAATGGAACTATGTTTTGGCATCATCCCTTTTACTCTGTCTATATCTCTGAGAAGAGAGCACACCTGGCTCTCAGCAGTGGTCTCAATCAAGCTTTGGTGAGTCACTGTGTTCTCTAGATATCGGCACTACACTCCCCGCCTCAGTTTGTTCCTCTGTGTGTAAATGGTTGGCATTGAATAATGTTAAGGGTTCTTGCCAGTTCTACATGCTGTGCATTTCTATTATTCTGTTTCTAAAACAAAAGATGCTTTGCTTTATAGTCTCACTGTATGCAATGTTCCTTAATATTCCAAGGAATAAAAACTTGTGACTACTCCCGAACTTCAATTATCCCCTCTCTCATAATAGTAGTCCCACCATCTATTGAATGCTTACTCGACACCATAACTATGCTAGGCATGTCATCTATATCACCTAGTCCTCGTCTTCATTTTACAAATGAGGAACCTGAGGCTAGAAAGGTTAAGTAACTTGCTCAAGATTGCTCAGCTAGTGTGTGATAGAGGATTAAAATCAGAACCTATGCTCATAACAAATATACTATATTGCTATTGTCTTTATACACAGGAAAATACAGTTTCTCACTGTGCAATAGTAGGAATTTCACATCTAAAATTTGAACTATATTAGCATGAGTACTGATTAATACATACCTGCTTGCGAGCATGGCTTTGTTCCTCGGTAGGTATGTTCAAGGTGCTTTTGTAAAGAGTCCTAGCAATCAAAGAATAATAGACAGAGATAATAGAGAGTGGAATAATGTAGAACACTAAGAAGCACAGCAGAGAATGTATTTCTTGCAGGAGCTTCTCAGAGACAGGATAAGAGGTACACGATTCAAATGTTGTGTTTTTCTCAGGATCTCGGAAAGTATACACATTTGAAAATATAGCCTCTGGCAGAGCAAATATCATAGACACGATCCAGATGCAGCCGGCTTTTGCACAAGTTTTCAGGATGGCATTGGAGGGCTGTCGCTCAAGTGGCTTCACAACTGCCTTATATCTGAAAACATATAATCAGAAGCAGAGGTCAAAATAAATATCAAAATTATAGAATCTTAGCATTAGAAGTGACTTTAATGGTCATCAGTTCTACTTCCTATCCATATGTGTATGACCAAGTCAACATTAACCAACTAGAATTGGTTATGGTTTTAAATACACATTATACAGCCCAATATTTTTTATTCATGCTAATCACTTTTACCTTAATCACTCCTGAGATATGCCAGATTTGCAATTTTATAACTTTATGTATAGACCCTCTGTTTAGGAAAATAAACATTTTTCAGCATGATTTTATGTGTGATTGAGAGTAATTCACTACCTGTGTATTACCTTAAGTGTTCTAAAAGACTTCCTTTTTGTATAAGTGACTGATGTTAAACCGAATTAATTTTCCTTTCTTGATGACTGAGCAGTCATCAACCTTCCTAGAAAAGAATTCCAGGGATTTACACAGTAAAGAGGAGAGGGTTAATTTCTTCCCCGCTCATAAGTGCTAATTTGATGCTCAAGCCGATCAGCGAGCAGATTTAGGGCAAGGCAAGAGCGCAATCGGAAGCCCCTGTGCCGGCGCTAAGATGCCTCTCATTCAGACAAATCCACCTTAAAATCCACAGCCTTTGAACGAGTTTGCCCTCAAATGCAATATAAGACCAGTCAAAGCAAATTCCGAAAAAGACACCGGGAAAGCTTTTCCTCCTCTCGTATTTAGAATCTGAAGAAGCTATTTCTTCTGGTACTGCCAAACATTGATTACTTACAGGCTTCTTGCAGGCTTTTTAAAGCATCACTTTTAACATTTGGAGCCTCAAATTTTTTTCATGCTTTCACAGTTATCATTCTACAATAGGAACACAGAAAAACCCAGTACTTAGACTGAAAATATCGTAACACAGAGTCTGAACGCTCTGTGACAGCGAGAGGTTCTCACACGCTGTCTCCATAGAGCTCTAAAAGTCAAGCAGGATTAATTTATCTCTCTGGAAACGGTAATGTCATTGAATGCCTATAGAGAAAACATTAATTGATGATATTACACTGAGTTACCAGGGAGCTGAAAATCTCACCGCTTTTCTGCCATTAGCTAATTTGATGAATTTCAAATAAATTAGATGCTTGCATCTTTTTTTCTGTTTTAACCATTCTTCCGATACACAGTAATGCATTTGTGGTCAATTTCACACCTATGCTGATATTTTCATGTTGAGTATATTGTACCACTAGGCTGCACTAATGTATAAAGCATGAATTTTTTCTTTTACACCTGGAACGATTTGCCGTACTTAAATTGGAGGAAAATAAAAACACCGCTCGGCATTCTTCCAAGCAAACAATTACATTCAAAAAGAATAAATTATCCCTAAAACATACAATTCCAACCTCTCCTCAGATGCTAACACAAGAATTTTAACATTCCTACATCAACTTTTATTTAAAATACCACCCAATTTTCCAATCTTACCTCCAGGTTACACAGCGTGAGAAAAGCAGAATAATAGCCAGTAAATGCCAAATACAAGCTTTCCTTTCTTTTTGCCTAATTTCACATCCTGACAAATATAACAGAGAAAAGAAACCCACCTGTCAGCGCTGAGAATTGTTAACGTGAACACTGATACACCAACAGAAGTGAGCCGGATGAAAGAAAGCACCTTACATCCAATTCTTCCGAACAGCCATCCTTTTGCAAGGTAGTGGGTTGCATCTACCGGCACACAAGTTAGCAGAAGTAAAAGATCTCCAAAAGCCAGGCTTGTGATGAAAATATTTGGAACTGTTTGCATGGATTTGGTCTTGAAAAAGACTTTGATGAGAATAGCATTTCCAAGGATGCCCACTGAAATGATCACAGCATAAGTGATATAGATGGCACACAATGCTTCTATTCCTGGAGAGTTGTTCCCGGTTTGTCCTTTATTTGTGGTATCGTTAGAAACCACAGAGCTTGATGATTCTGTGTCATTTGTGATTGAAATCAAAGTCTCATTAGGTGAATGAGGCTGCCTTTGAGACATTTCTTCTGAAGACTGTGTCTTTAATATTTCTTCTGCTCAGTTCAAATGCAGTTGATTGTCACGTCTAATGCCTACGTCTAGTAATGTAGATGAGATGGTATTGGGAGCACAGAACTGAACAGAATGGAAAGAAAATCCAAGACATCCGGATACTCCTTTCCTTCAGTTGTTCTGTGTCTCCCAGCATGCTTGGCTAAATGCTTACCGATCTGGCACAGAAGAGTGGGAGGTGGAGGAGTTTTATTGGCGTGTCCTGACTTAGGGGGAGGGAGGGGGCTGAGGAAATGCTCTGCAGTTGCTTGTTCTTCCCTTCTGGGGAATATTTGGACTAATTGGGTGTCATTAAATCATCTTATTGTTTATTAGAACCACCCTGTCTTCATATCTCTCCAGGATGGTCTATATAGATCTTGTCGATTTTTTTCGAGAAAAACCCTAAATTATCCCCTCTGCAATCACATGGTAGGCTAATGCATTTTCTTTTACATGATAAATAAGTTTAGATGGCCCCTGAAGTGCAAACTTGAATCCACTTCTCGAGATTTAATATCAGAGAGGTGCTGAAGCAACAAACCATTCACACTTTGACAGGGCTGATATCACCTCCGAGGAGCAATAATTCAGGTGACCTAGGCTTAATACCTACTCTGTCACATGATAATTCCCAACTCTGTGCTTATTACTGGGGCTGTGCTGTACAATATCAAAGCAACCTTTAAGAGATGAAAAATCCAGGCAAACCACCAGTTGCTTTGTCTCTAAATGTCCTAATAAAACCAGTTTTACTGTTTTAATGCCACATTTTTAAAAACAGCTCTTTGGGGGTTCTCTCTCTAGAAATGGTTAATATGAACCTACCTTATTCCATAACAAAACAATACAGAATGACACTGCTCGAGGTCCTGACACAAAAGAGCTTTTAAGAATGAAAATCATCATTTTCTGATGAGGACATGTCATAGATGACTTCGAGATGACGGGCATGTAGATGATGTGCGTGCATCATCTCAAGGAAGTAGACAATTAAGGCAATCACCTCAGTACCAGCCAGAAAAGCCCCTTTTTACAGAAAAAGTGAGCATGTGCTGTAAGTGTACGTGTGTGTGGTAGGGGGTTGTTTGGAAGCAGAAGACGAACAGTTTGAAGCCAGTTAATAATAAAACCTGCTAAGAAATATTCCCTGAAGTTACCACATGCAATGCATAACCTCTCAGCTAGGAGAAACTTTGTGTAGTGAGCTGTTTATAAATATAACCATATTAGAAAGTTGTCTGGGAAATGAAATGAAAACTTGCAAAGTGTTTGGCTAGCTGGCGAAAGAGAGGAGAAGACAAAGGTTGCTCTTTATACTGACAGAGTGGGCGTAATCAGTTCTACAGAGAAAGTGAAGTGGATGAATTGAATCAATTACTGGGTTAATTTGAGGCCCCCAAACCACACCTATCTTCCACTCTTTATGAAATTATCTCCACAGCTTACACTACTCAGTTAAATAACTGTTACTGATGGGAATGGGGAAGGGAGAGTGTTTGCATAAACCCAAATCCCTAAGCTTTTAAGTATGTACACTTAGGTAATTTCATACACTGGGCTGGCCCTTTAAGATGGTCTCTACAGAAAAGGGCTCCTTATGGTTCACATCTTGTTCTTACCAAACTAATGATAAAATCTCTCTGGGATTCCTGCGTATCATTTAGCAAAGAGCAAACAGTATCTCCCAATTCACACAGCAGCCAACCTCCACACAGCACTGTTTTGTAAGAAACAAATGCTTGTATGTTGATTCCTGAGATGATCTGAATTCCCAAAATCTCAGTCATGCTTTCAGCAGGCTGCAGCCACCGGAATGCTTTTCCCGCTCCCTCTTCTTTCTGGTCAGGAGAGGTCAGGAGAGAGCAGTAGAATTGGAGCAGTGGGGGTCTTGGATCCAGAGAATTTCAGAATCCCAGTATATCAGAGATGGAAGTGACCCCAGAGATGATGAAATTAAATGCTGTCATTTTGCGCAGGCATAAATGAGGTCCAGAGGGGGCAAATATCTCACCCAAAGTCTCACAAGTACTCAGAAGTAGAGCTGAGATGGAGCAAATTCACTCTGGCTTCTGAAAGGGTAAAAATCAGTGGCAAGAGCTGAAAAATACTCAGTTTCTGAAAATGAGCCATGTTTGCTCATTTGGCATCATAGATTTAGGTTTTCTGCATGTCCTATTAACCAAAGAACAAGAGTTTTCCAGGCTATCCAGCGATTCATGATAGATAATTTAAATGCATCTGCTTTTACTTCTACCTCTCTCTGCCTCTTTTACAACCTTATAATTCACTCACAAAACATAACCATGCCTAATTAATCATTTGTAACTGAAGTTGCAGGGCACTTAGCCTATATAAAATGATGGAATGCTTTTTTTTTTTTTTTTTTGGTTTTTAGTACATAAGTGGCCAATATTACCATCCAAGATTTTTAAAACCAGCTATTTATTATAGATTAAGCAATTGTAATACAATCCTAATGTGTTTTTTTTAACTCAGAGGAAGTATTTATTGGACGTTGAACAAATAAATTACCAATTTGCTGAAATTGGGTTTTCTGGTTCAGCCCAGTTCAATCAGTATTGTCCAAATTTTTTTTAAATCTCCAAGGAGCTGGGGATCTAAGGGTGCTAATGAACACTTCTCTGCCTCTAAGGTGATGGGGAGATGGGTTACAGAAAGGCTGCAAATTTGGCTCTAAGCTTCTCAGCCACCAGTTAAATAAGACAGTGGTTCTCCAATTTTGGCACCCATCCAAATCACCAGGAAGGCTTATCAAAACCCAAATTGCTGGGTCTCACCCCCAGAGTTTCTAATTTGGTAGGTCTGGGTGTGGATTTCTAAGAAGATCCCGGGTGACGTGGATGCTGCTGGTCACACTCTGAGAACCATTTATGGAGGGATAAAAATAATCCAGTTTGTTCAGGAGAATCATGTTTTTTTTCTGATATTAAAGTCCAAGAAATATTCTTGTGGTTCTTCATTAAAGAAAAAGGTACTCTGTGCTTTGATAGATACACCAAAAATTTTCCTGGAGGCTAGGCATGGTGGCTGACACCTATAATCTAGCACTTTGGAAGGCAGAGGCAGGAGGATCATTTGAGGCCAGGAATTTGAGACCAGCCTGAGCAACATAGCAAGACCCCATCTCTACAAAACATAGAAAAATTAACTAGGCATGGTCGTGTGTACCCATAGTCCCAGCTACTCAGGAGGCTGAGGCAGGAGAATTGCTTGAGCCCAGGAGTTTGAGGTTGCTGTGAGCTATGAAGACGCCATGGCACTCTTGACCCTGTCTCAAAAAAAAAAAAAAAAAAAAAAATCTTCCTGGAGCTGGCTCTCCTATCTCAATCCCTAGTAAGTTAGATTTACCAAACTCTTGGGTACCTATGCCCAAATTGCCCAAAGTACTTGAGGTGATCTTTCCAATGGGTGAAAAATGAAGTGGATAAACTCTTTTCCTCTGACTCGGGCTCAAAATCTGTTTTTATATTTGAGAAGTCAATGTTTATAGCAGCACAATTCACAATTGCAAAGCTGTGGAAACAACCCAAGTGTCCACCAATCCATGAGTGGATTAATAAAATGTGGTATATGTATACCATGGAGTTCTATTCAGCTCTAAGAAACAATGGTGATATAGCACATCTTATATTTTCCTGGATAGAGCTGGAACCCATAGTACTAAGTGAAGTATCCCAAGAATGGAAAAACAAGCACCACATATACTCACCAGAAAATTGGTATTAACTGATCAGCACCTAAGTGGACACATAGGAATTACACTAATTGGGTATTAGGCAGGTGGGAAGGGGAAGGGGGGGCGAGTATATATATACATAATGAGTGAGATGTGCACCATCTGGGGGATGGTCACACTTGAAGCTCAGACTTGTGGGGGGAGGAGGCAAGGGCATTATTTGAAACCTTAAAATTTGTACCCCCATAATATGCTGAAATAAAAAAAAATGAATAACCAGAAATCTCAATCTTTAAATCTCTAATTACAGAGGTTTCTGCTTTTATACACTTGTGCCAGGAGACAGGATGGATTTCTTTGTTATCAATTAACTGGGTTAGATCAATTATAAGAGGATACAATTTGATTTGTGGGTCTATGTAATAGTGATTCCTGTTGTCGCAGAGTTCTCTGTTCACCCTCATAATCTCTCACCCCAAAACCTTATCAGTTTCATATTACAAGGGGAGATTACTATTCAGAATGGCCTCTGTAGAGACTGGATAAAAGAAATACAACTATGCGATGGTAGCCTCTACAAAGAGTAGAAATTCCAAATGAATCTTTTAAGTGGAATTTTTAATTAAAGGCAGATTCTTGTCATGATTAAACTTAGTGACTCTGTAAAAGTGGACAATCATGTAGGCTATTCCCAGATTTAGGTGCCTTTGTAAATGCCCTTATCACTGTAGTTGTCCACCCACACATGCCTAATCATGTATGCTATGATCAAGGTGAAGTTCTACAATTATAATAGATTGAGGCAGTTTTGCATTATATAAAATGTTTAGGCTTCCTGAATACTGAAGTACAAATTATGAAGTAGATGAAATTTTCCTGTAAATGCATTTCTATCTCTTTTCTCAGTAATCTTCTTCCTCTTCCTGGAATTCTCTCTCCCGTGTCCCCAATCAACTGTCCCATTGTCACATGGCTTACTTTCAGTCTCTTACTTGTTAATCCCCGCTAAGTGCTTCAAGTCAATGAAGACCATACATTTACCATATGGTCCCAATTCCACTCCTAGGTATCTACCCAAAATAAATGAAAACATACGTCCGCACAAAGACTAATATGAAAATAAACATGGAAACATTTATCTTAAAAACAAATTGGAAATAATCCAAATAGCCATCAGTTAGTAAATGAGTAAACAAAATGTGGCTTATCCAGACAATGGAATACTACACAGCAATAAAAAGGACAAATAATTGATATGTGTTACAACATGGGTGAACCTTAAACATATGCCATGAAAGATAGCAGGTATACTGTATGATTCCTTAATATCAAATTTCTAGCAAAGACAAAACCATAAGTAATGGACAACACGTCAGTGGTTGCCTGGGTCTGAAGGTTGGAGCAGGGATGATTGCTAAGGAGCAC